GGTGGTGACTTGGGAGGCCATGGTGGCGATTCTGGTGGCTACGGTGGAGATCTGAGTGGCCACGGTGGTGATCTCAGCGGTCATGGTGGTGACTTAGGAGGTGGTAATTTAGGAGGTGGCTTCGGTCACTCTGGCGGTGGTGATATTGGCGATAGTTTTGGCCATTCCGGAGGTGGTGACGCCGGTGGTGGCTTTGGTCATTCTGGAGGTGATCATTTCGGTGGCGGTGGTGACGCTGGTGGTGGCTTTGGTCATTCCGGAGGAGGTGGTGCTCTTGAAGAACACCACCATGACGATCATCAGGATCACGATCACGGTTATTGGAAGAAAAAGCTGATCTGGAAACCGGGATGGAAGAAGATTTGGAAGCCAGCGAAGAAACAAATTTGGAAGCCCGCGTGGAAGAAAATTTGGAAGCCCGTTTGGGTACCAACGCAGAAAGCAATATGGAAAGAAATTCAGGTACCAGTTTGGAAAAAGATTTGGAAGCCCGTGTGGAAGGAGATACAGGTCCCGGTGTGGAAAGAGATTCAGGTACCAGCCTGGAAGAAGATTTGGAAACCAGTCTGGAAACCTATAAAGGTTCCAGCCTGGAAAGAAATTCAGGTGCCCGCGTGGAAAAAAATCTGGAAACCGGTTTGGAAGGAGATTCAAGTACCAGTGTGGAAGGAGATTCAGGTACCAGCCTGGAAAAAGATCTGGATTCCTGAATGGGTGAAAATCGGCATTCCTGGCGAGCACTATCATGGCACCGATCACCATGGTTGGCAGTACACCAGCCACGATTTGTGGAAGAAGAAACTGATCTGGAAACCATTATGGAAAAAGTATTGGAAACCAGCGAAGAAACAGATCTGGGTACCTGACAAGAAGTTAGAGTGGGTCGAAGCCTGGAAACAGATCTGGAAGCCAGCCAAAAAGCAGATTTGGGTGGATGACAAAAAACTTATCTGGAAAGAAGAATGGAAACAGATTTGGAAACCATCTAAAAAACTCATTTGGGTACCTGATAAGAAGTTGGAATGGAAAGAGGCTTGGAAACAAATCTGGAAGGCTGATAAGAAGCTCGAATGGGTACCTGATAAGAAGTTAGCCTGGAAAGAAGCTTGGAAACAGATTTGGGTACCAGCCTGGAAAGAAATTTGGGTTCCAGCATGGAAGAAGATTTGGAAACCAGTCTGGATATCGGAATGGTTCCCTGCAGAGGACCATCATCCTCATCACAAAGGTTGGGAAGACCGGAAAGATACTCAGGCCCAAGATTCTCAGGTAGTTCCTTACAGTCCTGACGCTGCCTTGAAGCAGAATGCTCAGGCTCAGCAACAACAACAAATCGACGAGAACAAAGTCAGGTGGGACAGATCGTCGAAGGCTAAAGCATTGTCGATCAGCCAGGATCTAGTGCCGCCACCGGAGAATCAAAGCCTGGCAGCCAACTTTGCGTTCCCCAATCACTGATCGAGCAGTATGCTTGTATAAAAACCTAGAATACTGTAACATAAGCCGCTGTATATATTATCTTAGTCGTATGATAGGTCGTAGAGAGTTAAGTTTTCGGGGGATCAATTGACTGACAAGGTCCTGACTCTAACGCGTTCTATCTTTTTTTGTGTATGTACATTTCCTTCCTTTTCCCTCCTTTTTATACAGTGTTGTTGTTACCTTTGTTAACCGATAGCGTTACAAATAAAGTTGATTAATATTTTGTTAAAGCAATTCTGTTGTTATTTTACCTTTTTTTAAATCATATTTTTATCACATATATATATTATGACTGAAAATTGTAGGAAATTACAGTAAATCTATATATGTGATAATTCTAGCAAGGAAAAGATTATTATTATTATAAAGCCTTGCATTGCATTACGCCACTATCTCAATCATCTATTTTACTTAAAATTGAAACATTTGATAAAAACACGAAATATGTTATATGACGAAATATAAGTAGAAATATTTGCTAACATCGACAAGATTGTCATCCCCATTGGTACGCCAATATTACAAGCACAGTTTGTTAATACCTTATTAACACCTCCGCATTATTGTTTCACTTCGTCATCTCAGGATCTACATTCGACATGACGCAACGCGACCATGCGATCGTAGCCAGAGCCGCTGCTGCGAAACCGGAGAAAGTTCGAATCTGTTATGGAAGGAAGTCGAGTCGCGTTGTATATGGGAGACCTCGACCGTGGAGAAAGTATCCGTGCACCTACACACGTAAAAGTGGTGCGGCTCACATGTACTTACACAACAGCATAAATTAATCTATAGCATTGTGGTATGCTACTATATTCATGTCGGGTTATCCAACTACGCTGTAAAGCCGAGTCTACACCTGACGAATCGAGTTGAATGAATTTTTCCTTCTCTGATAGACAATCGCTATCGTTTAGCAATTCTTCGATAAATTTCTGACATTGCTAAATCAATGAGTACTAAATAACTAATCAGATATTTATACATTACGTTTGATATAGAAGAAACTCGATCTGACGACAGATGTTGAACACTTAAATGTATAATATATTTTATACATATGCATATGTGTTATATCAATTTGAGATTCCAAAAACAATTTTATCACAATTACATCGGTAAAATAGAAAATTAATCTAAAGCTACACCTACTACAAATTACTACATTTACTATATTTATATTACATTAAGATAGCACATGAATAATCATTCTTAAGTATATACGTGTATAATACATATCAAGACTATTAAA